CCAGCAGCGGCATGCGGTTGCCGTCATTCAGCTGAATGTGTTTGTCCTGCTGCTCCATTCTTCAGTTGCTGCTTCAGTTGCTGCTGCGGCAGTGTTCCTCTTCCTCCTTTCTTCTTCTTCTTCTCCTTTTCTGGCCTGATTTTCTTTGGTTCTGACCCGGTTTGTCCTCTGTCTCTGGTTTTATCAAACAGGAAGTTCATAATAGGGCAAAGGTCAACGTTTTACTCCTTCAGCAACTATTTATGAGTAAATACAGGAGAGTACCGGCTGGGTTCAAAGGTCATTGGCTTTAAACTTGCAACACACACTCGTTTGCGTGGCTATCTTTGTGTGGACTTTCCATTGACTTCCATTCATTTCTAGACATTACAAACACACACACACACACACACACACACACACACACACACACACACACACACACACACACACACACACACACACACACTCAGGACAGTCAGATGACAGTGGATGTGTCTGTGCTGTCATGTCTTCAGTTGGCCAGCAGAGGGAGTTGGAGGTTCAATTGTTCAAAGTGGAAACAGCCTGCTAGCTTTTCGTAACCTTTCACCCTGGTAACCGTGGTAACAGAGACTTTGGTCTGAGCAGGTTTCGACCTGGTTACATAAAGATTCATAAATAAACTATTTAAAAAACATTAACTCAGTTGCACATTGGAGTATGATATTTCTGTTTCTGCTAGATACATAATTACATAATAGTTACAATCCTGAACAATATATTATTTCATTGTTAATTTTGTATTTTTAAATAAATGTTTAACTTCTGGAAGTGTTAACATGTTTCTGGGAAAATAAAGGCTGCTTCTATGATTGTTTAATAATTGTTGGTGATTTTAACATTCATGTGGACAATCATTGCTGTACCCAAACAGAACAAATACAGGAAAAATGACCCATTTTCAACTAGTTAATTATAAAACCCTAGAAGAAATGATAAGTCAATTAAGTTCAAGCTCCTGCTCTCTGGATGCTCTAGATCTATAACTTTAAGGAAGTCCTGCCTGTTATTGCTGCAGATCTGATCCTAATAGTAACTCATCACTCACATCAGGCGTTTTCCCCCAGGCCTTGAAAACAACAGTTATTAAACCACTGTTAAAAAAGAACAACCTGGACAAATCACTACTGCAGAATCACAGGCCGACCTCTGACCTCTGACCTCCCATTCATCAGCAAAGTTATTGAAAAAACTGTGAAAACAATTAAATAGTTTCCTCATGATGACCACAGCACAGAGACTGGCCTAGTCAAAGTATTCAATGATATTCATATAAGTACGGACTGTGGGGAGAACCACAGTGCTGGTTCTGGTTCTTTCTGTTGGACCTCAGTGCAGCTTTTGACATATTACTGAATGGACTGGAGAGTTGGGTTGGACTCTCCGGTTCGGTGCTCGACTGGTTTGAATCCTACATAAAGAACAGGGTTTACTTTGTTTCAATTGGAAACTTCTCATCAAAGAGGTCAAAGGTCACATGTGGGGTACCCCAAGGTTCAGTCCTAGGACCCCTCTTATTTAATATTTATATTCTCCCACTAGCTCAGGTTATAACAGGAAATAATATTAGCTACCACAACTATGACACACAGCTCTACATTATGATGTCACCAGCTGACCTTTGACCCCATCCAATCACTGAATAAATGCTTAGAACAGATAAATGTGTGGATGTGCCAAAACTTTCTCCAGCTGAACAGAAACACAACTGAAGTCATTATTTTGGACCTAAAGAGGAACGATCTAGAGTTATAGATCTAGAGTTATAGATCTAGAGTTATAGATCTAGAGTTATAGATCTAGAACTATAGATCTAGAGTTATAGACCTAGACCTATAGATCTAGAACTATAGATCTAAAGCTACAGATCTAGAGTTATAGATCTAGAACTATAGATCTAGAGTTATAGATCTAGAGCTATAGATCTAGAGCTATAGATCTAGAGTTATAGATCTAGAGTTATAGATCTAGAGCTATAGATCTAAAGCTACAGATCTAGAGTTATAGATCTAGAACTATAGATCTAGAGTTATATATCTAGAGTTATAGATCTAGAGTCAATGCACAGCTTCAGTTATTACAACTAAAAACTAGCGATCAGCCTGAAACCTGGGAGTAGTGATGACCTCTGACCTGAACCTCCAGAGCCACATAAAGACAGTTACAAAGTCGGCCTTCTATCACCTGAAGAACATCTCCAGGATTAGAGGACTAATGTCTCAGCCAGATCTAGAGAAACTCATTCATGCGTTTATCTTTAGTCTCATTGATTATTGCAACAGTGTCTTCACAGGCCTGTCCAACAAATCAATCCTCCAGCTGCAGCTGATCCAGAAGCTGCTGCTCCTGTTCTCACTAAAACCAGGAAGATAGAGACATAACAGCAGTTTTAAAGTCCCTCCACTGGCTCCCTGTAGCTCAAAGAATAGATTTTAAAATCCTGTTGTTAGTTTATAAATCACTGAACGGTTTAGCACCACAATACATCAAAGATCTGCTGTTGTTGGATCAACCTTCTAGACTCTCAGGTTCTGGTTCTGGTTCTGGTTCTGGTTCTGCTCTGCATCCCCAGAACCAGAACCAAGAGAGGAGAAGCAGCTTTCAGCATCTATGCACCACAAATCTGGAACAAACTTCCAGAAAACTGTAAACCAGCAGAAACCCTGACTTCCTTTAAATCTCAAGTAAAAACCAGCTGATTAGAGTTTTATTAGAAATGTAATATGGAACAATGTATTGTTGATTCTATGACTTTGTGTTTTTGTGTTTATGATGTAAAGCACTTTGAAATGCCTTGCTGCTGACATGTGCTATACAAATGAAGCAAGTATGACCTTATATGGACATCTGTCCCAGGAAATCTGTTGACTTTTCTGACTGGATGCTGATTGACTGCTGCGGCTTCTCTTCACACAGGAAAAGGTCCAAATAAGGACTGAGATTGTGAACTCTGACCCGAACTCAGTAGAACCTGAGGCACTCCACAGGGTGCCGGTTTGTTAGATCTCCAAGCTGCTCCAGACTTCCTGTTCTCTGGTTTGTTCTTGCCTTCATGATTTTAAGTTTAAGACAGACTTTATCTCATTTTAACCGTTTCTTTTTGGAAGTGGATACTTCAAAAGGCATCATAAATAAAACCTGTTATTGTTACTGAATATTGAATCTCGTGCCTTGAAGGCTGGAGACGCGTTGAGATGAAAAACCGTTCAGCAGCGGCTACGAGTTTTATTAGACGACCAGAAACAGTAACAGGAAAATCATTTTTATGACAAACAGGAAACAGTTCAGTTTAATATGTTGAACCAGAAGATCTGAAGAATCGGATCAGAACCAGCCGGGGCGCGCCTATTTTAACATTAATAGATCAATAACTCATTAATAGATCAATAATAACTCATTAATAGATCAATAATAACTCATTAATACAGGGGTGTCAAACTCATTTTCACCAAGGGCCACATCAGCGTAATGGCTGTCTTTAAAGGGCCAGATGTAACTTATAAATGTAACTAAATGTAATCGAATGTAATGTAAAATAAATGTAACTACTCCTTAATGTTAAATAACTCATTATTTATTATAACTTATTCAAGTGACAATTACAGTTGCATAGAAAACATGTTTGCTTGTTGCTGTAACATAAATCCTTTTAAATTTTGTCAGCTTATGAAAACCCACATGACTCCATTAATGAAGGATCAAACTGTCCAAGTGAATAAATAAAAATAACAAATTGTCAAATAGCTTTGAAGACATCCTAAAACTGAGCTGCAAAGAACATGTATGACACATGTAGCATTTTACAAAAAAAGGCTCCACACAGCCTTGCATCCAACTGATGGTTTGATGACAACAATTTGCCTGCATACACACATAAGACCTGCAAACATTAAATAATTACAACAGCAGCTATACATAAATAATATGGAATCAACTAAAAATACCAAAATAAAGGTTGACTCAGTTCACAACTATATTACTCAAGTTTTTTGGGTTAGATGAGGAGACGCTGCCTGTCCTTGAACACACCAAGTGGATTCTCTCTCTACTATCGATTGATCATGGGTGCAGTGCAGACATCGGTGGTGAAAGGATTGGCAAAGATGCCAGACTGTTGAAGTCAGAGATCAAACTCAGTCTCTAACCAGCTCAGTTTGGTAGCTAACTGAGCACATGAAAAAGTCTCGGGAAACGAGGTTGACATGCTCTGACAAACAGGAAAGTGGACAAGATTGTCCTGTTTCACTTGCCGCATCCATAAGTCCAGTTTACGCTGGAAAGCCGCGTGATGACTTGTTTGCGTCCCTGCAGCTTCTGATTCAGCTGGGCGAGATGGTCGGTTATGTCACACAACACAGCAAAGTCACACTGCCACTTTGGATCTGATAGTTCAGACATGAGTTTTCCTTTACTCTGCAAAAAAAAGCAATGTCTTCCCTGAGCTCAAAAAATCGCTTGAGGACTTTGTTCCTACTCGGCCACCGTACTTCTGTATGGTTCGGCACATCCCCGTGTTCCAAGCCCATCTCCAGCAAAAACTGCTGGAACTGCCGGTGATTCAGGCCCGAATGAATGTTTTCATGACTGTGGTCACAATGTCCTCCATCCCCAGCACCTTCCCACACAAAGCTTCTTGATGAATAATGCAATGATACGTTATCAGAGGCGTGACAGTTCATTTCTTGCATTTTCCTCTTCATTAGTCCAACCAAGCCCACTTTTCCTCCACACATTGCCGGTGCACTGTCTGTAGTTAATCCCACCAAGTTTTCCCACTGCAATGCATTTTTACTTACGGACTTCTCCACCATCAGAAATGTCCTGACAAGTCGTGGTCCCATGCATTGCAGCCAACAGCTCCTCAGTGACAGAGAGGTCCGACTTTACGCCTCTAATAAATATTGATAACTGCGCTGTGTCTGATATCTGTGCTTTCATCCACAGCTAATGAAAAAGCTGTGTCGCTGCGCGTCTCCTCGGTCAGCTGTGTTGTAGGATGTTCTGCTAGTTCCTTCACTCGGTTCGCGGTGGTTTCTTGATAAACTAACATTTTTAAAAGTCTGTAACTGGTCGGGACACACCTGCTCAGGCCTTCAGCATGCACTGCTTCAAAAACGCTCCCTCTGAAAAAGACTTGGAAGTGTGGGCGATTTCTTCAGCCACAATGAAGCTAGTGTTGAAATAACATTTTAAATTAGCACAATACTGCACAGGATAGTTTTGATACATATGAAATATACCATAAAAGTTAAAGTACACTACGTTCACATAAATTTAGATAAAGATCCAAACTAAAACAACTGCTGACTCTCTGAACTTATATAAATTCTTAGGGAGGATTCGACAGAAAACAGGCCTAGAATCTCTTTAGACAGGGAGGCTGTCTGCCACAATTAACAAATTCCTTAGCATGGTTCAAAAGTTCACTAGGATCTTAAAACTTTTTATAAATAATTTGATCTATTTTAGAATTAAATATATTTCTTTAAGCATTAAAAAGCATGTTTTTAATTAGTTAGTTTTAGATCCAACTTATAGTTAGTATTGAGCAATACATTTTGTGCGAGTTTGTTTAAAACACCAACTGGTTTCTTGTTGAATCATCTTGAGGCAGAGATAACGCTGCAGACCCACGCTATAAATCAGATCACCTAAAGGAGCCTGGTATGAGAAGAGCTGGGTGTTTCATTAGGTCTCAGAGGTAATAAAATTAACATTAAGACAGCCCACACAAAGGAAAACACACACCTCCTAATGCATATATTTAAATGAGGAGAATACACATTATTATAAAATGGTTTGTTTCACAGCAGGAGTTCAAATCTCTTTGTGCTGAGTGAGAGTTTCCCAAAAGATGCATCTTTTGTTTGTGTTTTTATTTCCCTTTTTACTCAGTTAATTGTTTCTGTTTTGTCATGTCTTGGACTTTTGATGATCTAGGTGAGATGCTTATTGTAACATTCTTCTTGCATTGATTTTCTCTGGATAAAACTCTGGATATCTGAAGTCTGACGTCATATGATTGCTCTTTCTCCCTGCACATGTATACAGACGCAAGAATCTAGGACAAGAGGAATAAATTAACGAGCTAAATCAAGTTATTCCTCTTTTTAATTCTTAACACTAGCTTTCACTGCTAGCAGCCTGGTGTTTGGCTGTGGATTTCATGAACAAACTGCTGCGATCGCAGTTTGCCTTTTAATTCTTGGGCAATTTGTTGCTTTTCTTGAAGGCTAGCTTTAGCTTTAGCCTACTTAGCTCCGTGTTTGGTGTCAAAATGCCGACGCAGATTGTACTCTTAAACAACCGACACAAAACACATTCTGCTCTTTCTCCTTGAAGCACAAACAAGTATTCGCCTTCCCATCTGTCTTGAAACAGTCTTCCGTCTGTATCAACTTTTCTCTTTCTGGACATTTTGGGATCATTATTTATATCTCAATTCCACTCTTGGCATGGATGTGGAAACACTGTCGTGCTACCCAGGTAGAAAGGCATTGTGGGAAATGTAGTTTTTGGTCAAAGCACGCTCTTAATTTATTTTTTGGTATTTATTTTTAGATACTCAAAACCTTTAAGCTCTCGCGGGCCACATAAAATGACGTGGCGGGCCACATCTGGCCCGCGGGCCGTGAGTTTGACACGTGCATTAATAGATCAGTAATAACTCGTTCATAGATCACATCCAGACTCAATTAATAAATATACTAAAACAATGGAGGGTAATATTTTAATATTTGTTGCCTGTATAAAATATAAATATTAGGTGATGTCCCTGAAAGTCCCAGCATCAAAGAAGACACGATGTGGACGAGGACTAGCCGGGTCGGAACCAGCCGGGTCGGAACCAGCCGGGTCACTGGTCCAGGTCGTTGCCGTCGCAGCTGGGCGGTCGGTACCAGGCCCGGCAGAACTCACGGATCCGGCCGCAGGCCTCCAGCATCAGCTCCTCTGGAACCGTCAGAACGACGCGGAAGAAGTCTGGATACTCAAACGCCTGAAGCCAGAGGAAGAGCATCTGTGCCTGGCGTCCTCATCATCACTTATTGATATTAGTGATTATTGATTGTCTCACCGAGGCGGGCAGGCAGAAGACGGACTGTTCTGTCACCAGGCGCTCCGTGAAGTCCACATCGTTCTGAAACTCTGGAAAATGGTCCATTTCAATCCCAACCTGCAACAACAACCGCGTTCTGTTAGAGGCCGCTTCAACTTCCTGCCATAAGATGATGCTGACGCGGCAGGACTGCGGTCCAAACTCTGATCCTTCTGCAGTTTCTGCTTCATGACCAGAAGAATTACTCTGGTTCAATCCAAACAACGGAAGAAAATCTTCTCTGTATTTTCATTAAGTCTGTGCTTCTTCCATCAGACTGATGATGACCTCAGGCTGACCTCTACTCACCATCAGGTACATGGCTCCGGACGGCATGACGGGGTTGAGGCCCGGGACGGCGCTCAGCTCGCTGAAGCAGATCTCTGCGTTGGACTGGAGGAAGAGCACAGACCAATCTTTAACACATTCCTGTCAGAGTGAGGCATCTGCCTGCTGTTGGCCCATCTCTGAGAGGAGGCGGAGCGAAAGCAGAGCCCTGCAGGCTGATTGGGCCAAACTACATTCATCTTTCATCACAGCAGCAACTTCCTATGAAACTGTGAAGATGTTTCAAATTAAGATTTTAGAAATGAAAACCATCAGCTTCTGTCGCCAGCTTTCAAAACGGAAAAGACCTGAGAACACGCCAGCACACGGCAGAGGATGTGTCATGCTGTGGGCCTGACTCTTTCAAAGGTTCTGGGATCATCGAGTCCTAGGAACTTTGGACCAAGCCCACCTTTATTGTCATCAGTAGGATCCCAGAGCTGATCACTGACTGATCATCAATATTGGTAAAGTGCATCCTAACATGGATTATTATTCTGCTGCAATAAAATCTGATTTACTGTTAACAGCCTGACCTGCAGGCAGCTGATGGTGCTGCTGTAGAAGCCGGGCGGCGTGTTGTTCAAGATGCTCTCTAGCGCCCCCTGGACGACGGTGCAGGCTCCCAGGATGCGCTGGCTCAGCCTCACCAGGCCCTGGCGGATCTGAGGAGGTCACATGACAGCCGGGTCAGCAGCAGGTGGGGGTGGGTCAGCCTTTCTGATCTGATCGTCGGTTTATAGTCAGCAAATATTAGAGCAACACATTAAACCTGAAAACGATTTATTGACTCAATAGAAACTCAGGCCGAAGGGATTTATTGATCAGCTGATCAATCAGAAGGAGGTAAAGGTGAAAGCGGGTCGGACCTCCGATCCGAAGATCCGGTTCCGATCGTGGATGAGGATCCAGCCCATCCTCCAGCCGGGAACCAGCCAGCGCTTGGCCAAGCCGCCGCAGGCCAGAACCGGAACCTCGCTGCTGAGAGACGCCAAGGAAGGACTGTTGCATCCTGGGAAAACCTGGAGGATCAGAGCGGACGGCCATGTTGGATCGGGACAAACATGGATCAGTCTAATAATCAAGCCGGGTGGATCTCTGGGTTTCGGCTGTTTTGCAGTTTTCTGAATGTTTGTTCCAGATTCGTGGCACATAGAAGCTGAATGCTGCTTCTCCGGGTTTGGTTCCGATTCAGAACCACTAAATATTAAGGTCAGAGGTCGACTGAGTTAGCTGGAGAACCCGAGCTGCTCCTCTGGTTCTGGTCCTGATGAGGGGGAAGTGAGCGTGAGACGGCCCACTTACCGCTTCCACTCAGAACCTGGTTCTCATTAGAGCCGGACCCGCCTCCCGCCCCATTGGCCAGAACCAGACCCGGTTACATAACTCTGCTGCTGCAGTCATAAAGCCAGCGGTTCTGTTGGACCGCAAAGCCGGTCTGGACCCGCCCCCCCCAGAATCACATGTGAAACTGCAAAGTCATGCTGATCTGCTGCTATTCACTGGCAAAAGCTCCGGTGGTTCTGGTGAACCCAGCGACCCGTCAGAATCGCCAGAACCTCCCAGCTGCTGGAAAAACCCAGGAATGTTGCTGACCTGTGGCAGAACTGATGGAAGGTTCTGGTTCTGACAGGAGACCCAAAATACTTACGCTCTGCTAAACATGGCTGGGTCCAAATAGTTCACCAGAACCAGAACCTCTGACCACACATCAGTTTGGAAAGAACCAATAAAGTCCAATCAGGTGGCCCGACCGACCCGACCCGACCAACCCGACCGACCCGCTGCTCACCATGTCGCTGTAGATTTCATCCGCCAGGATGGGAACACAGAGCTTGGAGGCAACTGGAAGACAGAGGCATCAGGGTGAGACGCTGCAGGACCCGTTTGCCCCGTCAGAGGCTCTGCTCACCTGTCAGGATGTTCTGCTCACCTGTCAGGATGTTCTGCAGGTGTTCCCGGCTGAACACGGAGCCGCAGGGGTTGGACGGGTTGGTGACGATCAGACAGGAAGTCCTCTCGTCCACCAGGCTCTCCAGGTGCTGCAGGTCGATCTCCCACGACTTCTCCGGCTGAAAACGCAGACGGGTCTCTGGGTCAGAGCTGGAAACACACCTGCTGCACCAAGGTGAACGTTGCATCTGGTATTTCAGGAGGTAACTGAATTTAAATGTCATGCAAATTTATTCTTGACTGATTTTCCGTCTATTTATTGAACAGGTTTGTGAGCAGAGTTCACCGACAGCAGCTTCCTGTTGTTCTACATGTTAGCATTAAGCAGCAACAGCATAGAACTTCAGTACATAGAAGTTATGGACTGTGGAGAAAACCATATTCTGTGAATCTATTCTAGACACGCTTCGGTTCTCCTGCTGCAGAAACTGATCCGAAAACAATAGATTACCGTATATAGTAATATGCGATAAAATGAATCTGTAGTCTAAATATAGCCAGTTATTTCCTGTAATTCAGTTTAATGTGATGAACAGCTCAAACAAATGACAAAAAGTAAACCGTGAAACTGACAATCAGGGTCAGAGATGCACTTCCACCCCTCAACCCAAAACCATCAGGCCACTGGTCTGAGGACAGCCGGTCACCCGTCACAGGAAGCAGCTTTCCTCACCAAAAGGTCGTAGAGTTTGACCTCGATGCCCATGGAGACGGCCAGCGTCTTATACAAGGAGAAGCCGGGCCGAGGGACCAGGATGTTGTCTCCTGGGTTACAGAGGACGCCGATGGACAGCTCAATGGCCTGGCTGCAGCCGCTGGTCAGGATGACGTCCTGCAACGGAGACGAGCTAAGCTAACGGGCAACGGAGACAAGCTAAGCTAACAAGCAAGAGAGAGCACCTCTGCCTCCAGCGAGCGTCAAGTCGGCTGTAGAAGTTTGCCACGGCCTGCCGGCTCCTCAGGTAGCCTGCAGAGATGCAGAGATTCAACGCCGAGTCCGGCGGGCGCCGTGTCCGGCGGGCGCCGTGTCCGGCGGGCGCCGCGTCCGGCGCTGCGGCATCAGGACCTTCAGGACTTCAGAGACTCACCCACAGACGGAGCGTAGCCGTTGAATCTCTGAGAGTCGATGGCGTCCTTCATGGCCTGGAGGACGGCGGCGTCCGTCGGCAGGTTCCCAAACACAGTGGGGTCACCTGCCAGACATCAAACGATGCTACTAATGGCAAACTCAAAGTGTTTACTGGAGACACGTTTCACATTTTAATGAATTTAACTTCTGCTTCTTCAAAGGAAAGTCGAACTTATCATTTTTAAAGTTTGATTTATCAGCAGAGAAGAAATCAAAGTCTTAGATCTGAGTCATACTGACAAAAATCAAGACTTTAGAGCTTCAATATTCATTTGAAAGTTTTCTTTTGTAAATATAACTCAAATGAAAAGTACAAGCTCATGTTTATGATGCAACATAAACACGGGACCCACCGATGGACAGAGAGATCATGGGCTTGGCCGGGTTGGGGATCAGCTTCATCCCGTCCACGATGGCCCGGATCGGGTTCAACGTGTTGCGGGACATTTCTGACGGCTTCACCTCCCAGCGCCGCCTGCGGCCGCGCGGCTTGGCCGGAAACAGGCCGCCGACCTTCCCGCTCAAGGTCAGGGGCTTGCTCTTCATCTGAACCAAGTAGGCCTGAGTGTCCATCCTGCAGGACAAGAAGCAGCAGCCAGACCAGCTGGCAGGTCAAAGATCATGTGACCAGCTGGAACACAAATAATCCACTAAATACTTTTATTGATCAGTTTTATTTCTCAAAGAATTAAAAATGAGTCAAATGTCTCACATTTGATTTATCTTCAACCCTAAAAATCACTGAGTGACTTTAATATTGATCTAATATTTATTAGTAATGTGTGGGAAATGGAAATAATAAAACATTTATGAAGGATAAGCTGTTGGCAGAAATTAAAACCGATGCATTTCTTTATTAATTGATCTCAATTAACTAAATAATGAATAAAACCTTAATTTACATGGAATCTATCACATCATTAATGATCAAACCTTCTTTCACATTTCTATTTATTTCTTGTTTTCATACATTCTTAGATCTGAATCATTTTGAGAAACTAAACTCCAGGATGGGACACAAATACAGTTTTTACTTTGAATTCATTTGTATTTTTTCATAAATGTTCATTTGAACATCGACCATCATTTTAGTTTGTTATTTACACCAAATGTTGTGATGTTTTGGTTTGTGTTTTAAATTCACAGCGAATTTAAAAGGTTCATAACTTCCTGCCTGGAGGCTTCAACTTCCCTTATTTTAGGAGAAATCAGCTTTAACCGAATGACCTCTGATCAAACGCTTTGACCTCTGATCAAACACTTTGACCTCTGATCAAACACTTTGACCTCTGATCAAACACTTTGACCTCTGATCAAACACTTTGACCTCTGATCAAACACTTTGACCTCTGATCAAACACTTTGACCTCTGATCAAACGCTTTGACCTCTGATCAAACGCTTTGATAAGCTCGTTAAACTCCACTAAACTTGGTTCAAGTTTGTGATACTTCATAAACTTTGTTAGACTTTGCAGAACTGGATTTATGAAATATTTGAAGTGTTTGTATCAATCGCTGAGCGTTAAGCACTGAGATGCTGACATAAGTCTGACCTCTGACCCGGGCCTCTTCAGGTCAAGATTTGAAACCAAAATGTTCATCATGGTTGAACTCTCAGAGTGCAGCATTTTTTGTTTTTTATCTTCTTGGATGTTGGTGGTAAAGTTATAGAAATGATTCTTTTTATTTTGCTGTTTCTGCTAAAGTATCGTCTGCAGATCATTATTACTAGAGTAACTTAGTCTGCAGGAAACTAACAAATCATGACATTTGATTCAAGAAATGACATTTTCATGAAATAAAATTGATTTCCATGAAAGCTCATAAATGATCTCATTCATTCACCCTCACCACTTCACCACAATAATGTAACATTAAATCATTTTACCTGCTGAATGTCCAGCTGCTGGAGAACTGCTCAGACTTTTATCCAACAGAACCACCAGAACCAGAACCACTAAGGTCTGGCTGCTGAAGAACGGACCAGGATTTCATCCGGCAGATCAAATCCTGCTTTTATAGATGCTGAGCAGCAAAACGTCCACAGACGCTGCGCTCCCATTGGCCGAGGCCGGGGGCCGAGCGGGAACGCCCCCCTCCCCTCCATAACCAGAACCAGACCGGCTGCAGCGTTTACTGGGAGGACATACTGGTGCTGGGGGGGCGGCCGCGTTCGTCACGCGGAGGCAAACAGACCAGAATCAGAACAACAAGCTGCAATCGATTCAAGTCTGTGGGAATCGCCTTCAGAACCCGCAGGTTCTGATCCGGTCCAAACAGAACTTTCTGGGCCTGGTGGGGGAAAGTAAAGTAACAACCTGAATGCAGCATCCATACAGCGAAGCAAGGTGGTGGCAGCATCATGCTGTGGGAAGATGGATCAGCAGCTAACGAGGCTAACGAGCCTCCCCGGCCCATCGGGGGTTAACCACGACCCGCTGCTGCTCCCATGAAATGACGCAACAGTTTGCTCTCTGCCGGCCGTCGACCTCACGGCGCAAACAGAACCGCAAACAGAACCTCGGGTCAATACCTGGCCCGTCCTGACCGGACTCTGACCTCTGTTTCCTCGGAACAAATCTGACGCCACAGAACACTGATAACGGACCAGAACCAGAACCGCTAGAACCAGGACCGCTAGAACCAGGACCGCTAGAACCAGAACCACAGTAAATCATCTCTGACCCAACAGCAGCTTCTGGAGCTGACATCACCATAGCAACGATGATCTTCCTGATTGGTTGGCAGAACAGGAAGTGAATACTTTCCCGACCCAGGTTCTGGTTCTGGTTCTGACACCAAGGACAACATTTCCTTCTTCTGCTCACCTAATCTGATAGATTAGAAGAAGGCGGGTTCTACGGGGTTCCGGACCATCACTGTATTTAGAGTCTAGAACCAGAACCAGCCCGGTTCCGTTTGGACTCTCCTTGCCGTCCTCAGAGGGAACCGGACCCTCCGGACCCTCTGGACCTCCGACAGGAATCTCTTCCTGTTGACGTGAGGGCGGTAGTCCGGGTCTCTGCTGGGCCGGCGGGCCGGGCGGGGCCGGACCTCCGGGTCCGTGAAGGAGCAGCACTGCTTGGCGCTCAGTCGGGTCAGAACCACACAAGGCTGCAAGCAGCCCAGAAGGGCTGAGGTTCTGGAGCCGACAGGAGAACCCGGCTGGGATCTGGACCGAACGGTTCTGCTGGTTTGGGTTTCAGGATGGCTTCTGATGGAGTTCTGATGGACACCTTGCTGAGCTGGATCAGTCAGAACCGGGGCAGAACCTGCAGGCTCCAGGACATTTTGGTCCATCGACGTCTGGCGGGCCAGAGAACCCGGACTAGACCCACAGGAAGCTGCTTTGACAAGAATCGCGGAGACGGGTTGAGACGGATTGGACCCGAGTCGCCACAAGACGTCCTCCAGCTGGACCACTGGAACCAGCAGGACGGGTCCATCAGAACCTTCTGAGGTTCTGGACAGAGGCGAGACACGGTCTGATGGCATCTGGTCCTCAGAAGAGGACGGCAGCAGGGTCGTGTCGGACGGAACCGGGGTCGGGTCGGACGGAACAGGGGTCGGGTCGGACGGAACCGGGGTCGGGTCGGACAGCAGCGGCAGATCGTCTTCTGCACAGCCTCTCAGGAAGTTGTCCATCCAGCGCTGGTGCGTGGAGCAGAACCGAGGGGACGGGGGGACGTCCTCCTCCTCCACTATCTCTGGTTCTGTTCCATCCTCTGGACCATGGGGTTCCCCAACATCTGGACTGGAACCAGAACTGACCTGTGGGATCCAGTCAGCTTCAGGCCGTCTCTGCAGGGACGTCTCTGAGGGACGAGCGTCTGGAGGACAAAAACAGAGACATCTGGACTGGCTGGAAGGATTATGGTGTGAATACTTTAGACATATTAAAGCGTAGACTATGCATTGGCAGGCAGGTGGCGGCCATATTGGAGAGGGCGTCCATCCCACTCAGCTAATAGAACATACAGTTAGGGCCAGAAATATTTGGACAGTGACACAGGTTTTGTTATTTTAGCTGTTGACAAAAATATGTTCAGAAATACAATTTATATATAATATGGGCTGAAAGTGCACACTCCCAGCTGCAATATGAGAGTTTCCACATCCAAATCGGAGAAAGGGTTTAGGAATCATAGCTCTGTAATGCAGAGCCTCCTCTTTTTCAAGGGACCAAAAGTAATTGGACAATGGACTCCAAAGGCTGCAAGTAACTCAAAAGGCCTTTCCCTCGTTAACCTGTAATCAAGTAAGTAGTTAAAAGGTCTGGGGTTGTTTCCAGGTGTGTGGTTTTGCATTTGGAAGCTGTTGCTGTGACCAGACAACATGCGGTCAAAGGAGCTCTCAATTGAGGTGAAGCAGAACATCCTGAGGCTGAAAAAAAAATAATCCATCAGAGAGATAGCAGACATGCTTGGAGTAGCAAAATCAACAGTCGGTACATTCTGAGGAAAAAGGAATTGACTGGTGAGCTTGGGAACTCAAAAAGGCCTGGGCGTCCACTGAAGACAACAGTGGTGGATGATCGCCGCATACTTTCTTTGGTGAAGAAGAACCCGTTCACAACATCAACTGAGGTCCAGAACACTCTCAGAGAAGTAGGTGTATCTGTCTCTAAGTCAACAGTAAAGAGAAGACTCCATGAAAGCAAATACAAAGGGTTCACATGTAGATGCAAACCATTCATCAATTCCAAAAATAGACAGGCCAGAGTTAAATTTGCCCAAAAACACCTCAAGAAGCCAGCCCAGTTCTGGAAAAGTATTCTATGGACAGATGAGACAAAGATCAACCTGTACCAGAATGATGGGAAGAAAAAATTTGGAGAAGAAAGGGAACGGCACATGATCCAAGGCACACCACATCCTCTGTAAAACATGGTGGAGGCAACGTGATGGCATGGGCATGCATGGCTTTCAATGGCACTGGGTCACTTGTGTTTATTGATGACATAACAGCAGACAAGAGTAGCCGGATGAATTCTGAAGTGTACCGGGATATACTGTCAGCCCAGATTCAGCCAAATGCTGCAAAGTTGATCGGACGGCGCTTCACAGTACAGATGGATAATGACCCCAAGCATACAGCCAAAGCTACCCAGGAGTTCATGAGAGCAAAAAGGTGGAATATTCTGCAATGGCCAAGTCAATCACCAGATCTTAACCCAATTGAGCATGCATTTCACTTGCTCAAATCCAGACTTCAGACGGAAAGACCCACTAACAAGCAAGACCTGAAGGCTGCGGCTGTAAAGGCCTGGCAAAGCATTAAGAAGGAGGAAACCCAGCGTTTGTGATGTCCATGGTTCCAGACTTAAGGCAGTGATTGCCTCCAAAGGATTCACAACAAAATATTGAGAAAAAACTTTTTGTTTGGGTTATGTTTATATGTCCAATTACTTTTGAGCTCCTAAAATGTGGAGTGTTTGTAAACAAATGTGTACAATTCCTACATTTTCTATCACATATTTTTGTTCAACCCTTTAAATTAAACGTTACAATCTGCACTTGAATTCTGTTGTAGAGGTTTCATTTCAAATCCAATGCGGTGGCATGCAGAGCCCAACTCACAAATATTGTGTTACTGTCCAAATATTTCTGGCCCTAACTGTATGCGAAGGTTTTCTGACACTGCCAGATTACACTGACTGACCTCTCCAAGATGGCCGCCGTAAGGCCAATAGCTGGAGGATGTCATTGCTCACCACCCAGCAGCTTCCTCCCAGCTGATGAAGGTGCGCTCGTCTCTTCCTCATCCTCAGGATGTTGTTTCTTCATCATCTGAGTCAGAGTAATGAGACCCGGTTCGGGCCGGTCCCAGCCGGTTCTGCAGCTGTAGGTGTCGGCAGGTAGCGCCCTCCACACCTCCTGCAGGTAAGCTAGCAGCCGCTGCTCCACCTTTTGGGCGTAGCGCTCACCATAGCGCTCCTCCATGTCGCCCTGGAGACGACAACAATCGTTCTCATTGGTTCGTGTCTTTCTGTCTGCATGTTCTCCCTGTGCATCGCCGTTCTCCAGTTTCCTCAGTCCAAAAACATGACAGTCAGGTTAACTGGTCTCTCTACATTCTCTCTGTGTGTGTGTGTGTGTGTGTGTGTGTGTGTGTGTGTGTGTGTGTGTGTGTGTGTGTCGTCTGTCTCTGTGTTACCTTGCAACAGACTGGAGTCCTGTCCAGGTGACCCCGCCTCTCACTGGACAGGCAGCAGCACCTCCTGACCCCTTAGGGTCAAGGGTGGAAAGAAAATGGATGTATTGATCTCACTAAATAATATATAAAAAACAGCTGGCTGCTTTGTAAACTGCTCATCATACATCAATATTCTATTCCTATTCTCTTTTCCACACTACAGATATCTAACTATGCTGAACCATAATGCTGTTAAAATATATTTACAAATGTAGATGGAGTCATAACTGTCTGAATAAGGTTTCTAGTGAAAAAGTATTTAATGAGTTATGATTGATTAAATGTTCGAATACTTCATGAGTATCACTCATGAAACACTGAGTGGACGATTTTCCACTCACACCTGACCTTTGACCTGAGATACACCAGGGTTGATAGCAGCTCTATGCCGCCCCCTGCTGGACATAACCAGCACAGCGATGGGGGGTGGAACTGAAGCTTCATCGATCAAGAGGTCCAGTCGGACCCTATTGGGTCCTACTGACCTTCATGTAGTCCTGCAGCCTCTCCTTGGTGAAGGCCAGGTTCTGGACCAGGCGCCTGAAGTCGGCCTGGTTCTTCCTCATCAGGAACATTTCTCTCTGGCTCTGTGGAAGCAAAAGGATCAGCACCTGGATTCGCACCAACAACCTCTGACCGGGATCAAAAGCAGCTCTGATGGTCAGTACAATCCATCAGAACCGGTACCGCTGGCTCTAGCGGGTTAGACACTTACACACTGATCTTCATACTCAGGCAGCTTGTTGGGGAAGAACCGGATGATACTGGACACGATGTGAACCGCCCCTCTGCCTTCCCTCAGCATCTGCATGACGACCTGCAACAGAACCAGAACCTTCACAACCACCAGAACCGCCCCTCTGCCTTCCCTCAGCATCTGCATGACGACCTGCAACAGAACCAGAACCTTCACAACCACCAGAACCGCCCCTCTGCCTTCCCTCAGCATCTGCATGACGACCTGCAACAGAACCAGAACCTTCGGAACCGCCCCTCCTGCCTCCTACCATGGTCTTCAGGCCGAACTGGATCTTCATGTGTTTGATGGCGGGAACCAGGCCGGGCAGCAGGCGGTGCGTCGCGTCCAGGAACGCCATCACCGTCTCAAAGTTCTGCACGTCCCGGTTCCGCACGATGGAGAGGGCCCGGGAGGAGAGGACCCGCAGCCGCCTCGGGTCCTCCAGGTTCCGGAGGTCCGGTCCGACCCGGCCGGAGACCGCTGCGGAGACACCAGATGTTCTGATCAGGTTTGCTGCGGTTCGGCCGACAGGAACCAGGTCCAATGATGGCCAGCAGGGAACTTTGGATCAGATACTTTCTTCGGTCAAACATCCAGAACTTTCCAAAGTTCTTTTTTTCAGCTAATTTTGAATTAAACGCATCAGGGTTTTAAAAGTTGTTATTCAGCTTCATCTTTGGACAGACCGGTTCCGTCAGCTGGACCCACCTTGGTGAACAGCCATGATTCTGTAGGTCAGCGGAAGAACCTCGGTGGACCGGCCCGGATCAGCTGCTCTCTGCGGGCCGCGGGTCCTGCGGCAGCCCGACCTCCTCCACCTCCAGCGGGACATGCAAAGACATGTTCGGCGTCCCTCACAATCTGCCAGAATCTGGCTTTAAAAACGAACTACTTCCGCTTCCAAGTCAACTCTCATCTTCAAAATAAAATCTCCTGAAGTCCAGAGTTTTTATAATCAGTGTAAATATTCAGGGGAAAGATAATAATTTCAGTTAGTTATATGAGAAGTTAACGCCAACATTTCCTTTGAGAACCATGACCGGCAGGAGCAAAACAGCAACCACAGTTTGAGAACCTTGGTCCAATATAAGCTTTTATTCTGAAGTGAATCGTGCTGCGCATGCGTGGTAGACCAGGAAGTGATCACACGGAGCACCTCTCCACTGTCCTGGCTTCTCCTTCCAGAACTGAGATATTTGTATTCCAGGCAGCTTCAGCATCCGCGGACCTGCAGGTAACAGGAAGTCTATTAGCCACTGACAAGGAAATACGTCATTTATTTCAGAATGAAGCCGCGGCAGCGGTAAACTCAGTGATACTTGGTGGAGTTGCTGGATAGGAGAGCATGTTATAATGTACCAGACAGACCGGGCGGGCGGGGTTTAATGGTGCGCTTAACTAAACTGGTGGTTTCTAATTAAATCAGAAATACATGCATCAGGCATAACATTATGACCACTGACAGTTGCAGTGACTGATGATCCTTCATCATGGCTGCTGTAAGTGGGCGGGATTTATTGGACTCAAGACAGGGGCAATCCCTGTCCTCTCTGTCCTGCGACTCTCAATCAATCAATCAATCAATCAAATTTTATTCGTACAGCACATTTCAGCAGCAAGGCATTTCAAAGTGCTTTACACGATAACAAACACAAAGCTGTCTTCCTGGTCCCTGAATCTCCTCCTCAGTGCAGTCCCGTTCTCCAGAACCGAACTGCACTGCTAAGAGTCCTACTAATCACCTCGTTATTGTGACTCAGGTGTGTTGAAGCAGAGGCGCATATAAAGGCTGCAGGCGTGGAGCTGCCCAACAGAAGAGAGCATTCTGGTTCAGGCAGGTGGTCATAATGTTATGCCCGATCTGTGTAAACAGTGAGGTTTACACAGATCAGAAGGTTCTGCTCAACATTTCCCATTTCTTCTTCTGTGGCTTTAACAATTCCTTTTGTCCTTATCCATCCTGACCTCCAGCGTTGCCATGACCTCCAGCGCCGCTTTGTTCGCCTGGTCCAGATTCGGGTTTTGTGCGTCCAGAACCGCTTCCTCCTCATGCAGAGTCCTGGTCCGACCCGCCTGCAGCCGCTCTTGGTCCAGCGGCGTTAAGGTGCGCTCCTACCTGCAGTACGTCAAGCGGAAGCTCCGCCCCCCTCCCACTCCCCCATACAGCCACGTGTGCCAGGTGGGCGACCCGGTCCTGCGCTGCAGGGCCACCGCCGTGGACCCGGCGGCCATAGCGGGCCCAGAGATCCAGCGGGTTCTGGTAACTATGGTGACTGTGATGAGGAGGCTGCAGTGCGTGGGTCTCAGTGCGCCGCAGGTGGGCGTGCCGCTCCGCATCCTGATGCTGGAGTATCCCTGGAACCTGTTTGAGGAGGTTCCGCCTGCTGCCCGGCAGGCCCTTGGCCTCTCCATCCAGCCGCTCCGGATCTTCCTGAACCCGGAGCTCCGGGTTCTGGACGGCAGCACGGTTCTGTCTCAGGAGGCCTGCGAGAGCGTCTCGGGCTTCTCCGCCGCCGTGCCACGGTTCCGGTCCGTGGAAGTGTCAGGTACGTCTGGAAACCCGTTCAGAACCTGATCAGGCTGATCTGCCAGTTCTGAAAACCCAGAAAGGTTCTGCTGGTCCAGGAGGAAATAAGCCCTTGAAATGATTCCATTTTGTCTTGTTAAATGTAGCAGAGCATCAGAACCGATCAGGAAAGGGTGGTTCTGATCGGTTGACCTCTACTGATGGAGGAGATTTATGGTATTTCTGTCTGGTGAAATGACCTTTGAACTCTATGAACAACCTGAACTTTAGGGGTTCTGCCTCCTGTTTTCAGGGCTGAATGAGAAAGGTCAAGAGGTCACCTGGCAGGCAAGCGGTTGGCCGGCTCGGATCCTGCAGCACGAGATGGACCACCTGGACGGAGTTCTGTTCCTGGACCGCATGGACTCCAGAACCTTCATCAACATCAACTGGCAGGAGCACAACGAGTAGCTGCCTGGGCGGACGCTCAGTTAACTTTCCTGTGTAAAATTGTAAATGGTATTTTACATTTTCCTTTGTTCTCCCTATAATTGATGGAGATATATAGATATTATTTATAATGTATAAAAGTCTTGTCTATGTCATTTTAATTAGCTCTGATGGTGATTTATTAGAGAATTTATCTTTCACGGTTTCAGTAATACCAGAATTAATATTAAATAAAGATTTTGTGGCGTTTTGATTTAGTAATGAAATTATATTTGTTGTGTTACCATCCCCAAACCACTAGAGGCAGTAGTAGACCCAAAAGATGCGACTAGGGAGCAGATTGAGAAAGAATGTGTTAAAAACTGTGAAGTAAAGAGAGAAGAAGTTCAAATAGATGCTGAGTGAAAATCCTTTGTAAAGGTGGAGTTTTCAATAGAATATAAAAACGGGAGGTTGCAGATAATATGAAAAATAGCGCCCCCTTCACTTCTGGAGTGCAATGATCCCATTTCCAAATAAGGTCAGTCTTCCTGTTTGCTGCAGCCAGGTGGACTTGCAACATTCTCAGGCACTGAGGTTCGGCTCATTGAGCTGAAAAAGCAGGAAGTCCTCAGACAGAGGTGGACAGGTCGGTGGACAGGTGGAAGCTGCGTCCGCAGACGCAGGTCAGCGGATTCTTGTACCAGCAGTCTCTGCAGAACTCGTCGCCGCAGTAGAGGCACAGGACGCGCGGCGTCCCGCAGCAGGACTTCCCGCAGGAACACGTCCCCAGGCGGCGGGTCTGGTGGGCCGAGCGGCACAGCCCGCCCTCCACGCAGGCGGCGCCGTGGACGGCTCTGCAGGTGAGGCACAGCAGGTGGGGGTTGGCGCTGGCCGCCTCGCAGTGGTAGCTGATTGGCTGAGAGGCGGCCGTGTCCTCGGGGACGGCGTCTCCGGGACGCTCCTCCCTTGACACTGGCCCAATCTCTGAACTGCTCGCCGGCTCCACCTGGTGGCGCTGCAGGTTGCAGTCGGTCAAGTGGATGCAAGTGATGTCATGGAGGACACCGCAGTCCAGGCAGCGCTGGAGATGGAGCGGAGGCGCACGGAGACAGCCACAGAGGTCATGGGGTCGCCCTCTGTCTGCCTCCAACGGCATGGGTACGACCGGACCAAACCTCCTGCTGCGGGGCGCCGCCACCGGCCCGTTGCTGCAGCCCTGGCCACCAGGGGGCGCTGCGCTGTCGTCCCGGTACAGGTCCAACTCTCCCTCTGCGTCCTCCGGGACGGACAGCAGCCGCTCAGCGTTGTCAACGGCAACCTGTACAAAGACAAACATCCAGCTTCAATCGCTTCCAGTGGCAGAAGAAGCGGACCTTCAGAACCAACTGGACCAGAACCAAATAGTGGCAGAAGCTGAGCTCAAACACCTCCAGGTCAAAGGTCAGACTCCTTTGACCTGCAATCCTCCATCATTTCCAGAGTCAGAGCTTCTGAAGTATTGCTGACACAACAAAATTGCTGCTTTCATTTTGCCAACACAAAAGATTTGAATAATAAATATTTCTCAGATTACTGAAAGTAGAGCAGCAACGCCATCTTGTGACAAATCAGGATAAGTCAAAACGTAGCAGTTGAACTGCGCGAGAATCCGCCATGTCTACCAGCAAATGATCGCTTCGTATTTTCATCAGCTAAAAACTTTTTGACTTTTGTGAGTGAAAATGAGACAAATGTAAACATGGTGAGGAAGTTGAAGGTCTGTCAATAATTTCATTATTCTAATTGTAAATAGTTTAAATGGAATATCTTTAAGCAGACAACATGAACACAGGAGAAAATCCCTACAGTCCAGTTCACACGACTCGACTGTAGAATCGTCGGCCGATTCTCCAAACGTGAGATGCTGGCCCATTTAAAATCTGAGGTTTGACGGTTCAGGACGTTCCAGGTCCAGATCTGAAATCCCTTCAACTTCTGCACACCTGAATTCAGAGTGAACAAACATGGACGACGTTGAAGCAGTAACTTGAGTTTGTGGATTTATTTTAACCCAAAAAGGACGTCAGCAAAAATCAAAGCGTTGGATGAAGAACTGGAGCAAGAACCACAATAAGGAAGAGCTTTTTTCCTCATAAATACAGAAATACTGCTTTTAATTTGTACATTTTTTCGGTTTTCTCATTTAATTAACCGTTACCGTTTAACGCTGACCAACAGAACATCTGCACATACTGGATCGTTTCAGAAACTCAATGACTGAAGAGTAGCTGAAACTAGAAGACAGCACTTCCTGTTCATCAGTTTTCCTGTTTCCCTCCAATTGACTGCGAAAGGTCAACATATTCCAGCTCCTCTAATTGAAACCCAAACGGGGAGTTAATTATTCTATCATCACTCCTGAAGCTGCGCAATATTTCTGCACTTGTATCTTTTTCTGTATTTGCTCCTGTATGTAGACTACAACTAGAATAACGCAGCATAACAATTTCTGTGTTTTTCTCTGTTGCATTATTAGAATGAAATCAAATGCAGCATTTCAACCAGAGGTCAGAATCATACAATCATTTAGATTTTAAACCAATAGCTGCTCTGAAGAAGGATAAAGCTTTACTGATGGTTTGATGAGATTCAATTCCCTCCAAAGCTCATTTCATTCATCAGCTCTAACAGCAGCAGAAGCTTCCGGGTCCATTTGGCTCCAGCTTCTTTCTTTGTCATTTCTGTTGTTATTCTCTTCAGACAAAATGTTAAATGAACATTCGCGTTCTTTCCACCTGCCAACGATCTTCAGACGTCCAGCGCACTCTGAGTTGCTCCATGCCAGCTGTTCTGGGATTCCCCACCATGCTTACGTCACGCCGCTTTCTGATTGGCTACCAGGCTGCCTTCTCGCTCCCAGTGGGGGGAGCAACACAGACTGCGGTAAACGAGCCAAGACGATCAAACATGTTGAATATCCCTGATTTTAGATCAAAGCGGTTCCGACGTTCTGCCAACTGGACCTGATCAGTCGTAACACATCTCACACTACAGGAAGATCGGTGACAGAACTCAGAACCTTCTAAGATTGTCGTAAGGAAATCGGGCCACAAAATCGTCTAGCGTGAACTGGGCTTGAGAAAAAAAATAGAATTATTTACAGTTATCAGGAGACAGACGTTCACATCCAAACCTTCACCATTTGAGTCATTTTCACTTCCTGGACTTTATGGATCAATAAATAATACATATGGCTGCTGGCTTCCTCCTCTTCATCACTCCATATGGATTCTTCCTCCAAAACGGCAGAGAAATCGCTGTGATCAACTCCCTCCGCTTCCATTACTCGGCCGTTGAAGGTTACTTACCTGATGACGTCACAAGATGGCGCCAGCGTTTGACCCAGTTACCAGAGGAAAACAACAACGCTGTGTGGAATTTATGTGATTCGGTGATTAATATTTATTATTAAAAGCTTTTGTGTTCACAGAACAAATACAGCAGTTCATGTTTTCAATCATGGAAGTAACCGGTCCTTTAAATATCGCTGACATGCGATATTTAAAGGACCGGTTACGGTTTAGAACCACCTGGTCCGCCCCAGGTGGGGCTCAGACCCAGGTGAGGCTCAGACCCAGGTGGGGCTCAGACCCAGGTGGGGCTCAGACCCAGGTGGGGCTCAGACCCAGGTGGGGCTCAGACCCAGGTGGGGCTCAGACCCAGGTGGGGCTCAGACCCAGGTGGGGCTCAGACCCAGGTGGGGCTTTGCCTGGAGTTTGTGAACTGGGTACACGGTTCAGGAGAAAAATCTGCTATAAATACTTTAATCGTTTTTTGGTTAAATGCTGAAATTCACGTTTGAGAAGAAACTCCTGCAGGGAATCAGAGTAAATAAAGACGAGACCTGGAGTCGAGGTGAAGCATTAAAGCTGAGGTCAAAGTTCAGGAGTCGTACCTGCAGTCGCTGGCCTTGCCGCCGCTCCCGCACTACACCGAGCTCCCAGCGGGCGCCGCCATGCTTCCCCAGGGCGCCCAGCAGGAGGCGACACTCGCAGCGGGCCAGGAAGAATGCGCAGGCCAGGCGCAGCAGGTCCCGTGGAGCCGCCGGGCTGCCAGCCGGCTGCAGGCGCAGCAACCGGGTCTGGGCCGGGCCGGGCCGGTACCCCAGCAGGCCGAACACTTCCTCGGTCTGCGGCGCCGAAAGTACCGGAGCGACACAGTGGGTGAAGGTACCGGAGTACATCTGGACCAAAGAAACGCCACAGAGTTAAACACTCCGGAGGCTTCATGCTAACATTATGCTAACCTTATGCTACCTTCAAGCTAACATTATACTAACTTCATGTTAACTTTATGCTAACTTCATGTTAACTTAATGCTAACTTCATACTAACTTTATGCTAACATGGCCCAGTTTAGAAAATTTTGCAAGACGTGCTGCGCCTGTAAGAAAATCAGGCGCCCCCTAGAGGCGAGTGCAGCTTCTAATAAAAAGCTCTACGTTCAGTTAAAGCTCTTTACATAAAACATGTTGGAGTTGTGAAATGTTTCCACATGTAGAATCAGCAGATCTGGATCGTTTGGTTTTCGATCTGAATTATCGCTACTGTTGAAAATGGACTTATTTGGCGGTGTGTATGTCACTTTAAGAGCTCAGGGAGCCATCTAGGTGGGCTTCGCTCTGATTGGTTCATTGTTGTTATCTTAAGCTGCAGTTAGTTGTGGACAGAGCACATGTTCAGTTTTCGTTGGAAAGTAATGATTGGAAGCCGTTCAGAGCTGTTGTTTCAGAGATTGGGAGTGCGTAATGAATAAAAGTAAGTTTAATCATTATTTAATCAAGATTTGTTTATCTGTACACCTTAAACATATACATTATGGTAATTGAAAGAGTTAAGGTTAAGATAATGTAATTTGTAGTTTGTTTGTTGTCATTTGCTGCCATCTACTGGACAAGTTGGTAATAGCTGTTTGTGATTAGCGAAAATAATAGCTCCTATTTGTTTGTCCTTTGTATTTTTGTAGACCACTCTCATCTCTATTAAAGGAACTCAAGACCTGAAACATTTTTATCATTCTTTACCGAATGCTCGTGGTGGCTGTCCTATTTAAAGAACAACAAGTAAAGGGAGCACAACAGTTACTAGACAGTAATTAATAGTAATTAATGGGTACATTAGCACCGGCGGTACCTTGATCACCCGGTACTCCTCCCTCCAGGGGCCCAGGTACAGGTTCAGCGCCGCCTGCTCCAGAACCTCGAAGGTCCGGGCCAGCCCGCGCAGACCCGGGCCGCGCCCGGCCTCCAGAACCTCCTCCATCAGCCGCAGCGGCTCCAGGCCCAGGCCGTGCAGCTCCCGGGGGTCGGAGGTTGCCAGGAGACCCTCGACCTCTGACCTCAATGCCTCGTCCTGACAAGCCCGGCACGACCCCCGACCCAGGATCTGCTGCTCCAGAACCCGGTCGTACGCCCGGACCAGGTCCACACCACGCATCTCTGAGGGACGAGAAGAACATCAGAACCGGGACCAGAACTCGGAACCCAGCAAGTGGACCTTCATCGTGAGGAAGAGGAGGATTGTGGCTTTAATATTCATCACTAATGAAATCTGAAATGTGTGGAGTGTTTTTATACTCCTCCTGTCTGACTCAGAACTCTGCAGAACCTACTGGGTTCAGGTTTTGACTTTGACTAGGCCGTTTCAATCCATGAATGAGCTCTGAACTGAACCAAAATATTTCTGGCTGCTGTAAGCTGAACTTTGACCCCAGTCTCAGCTATGTGACTTCCCACAGTATAATGCTGCCACCACCATAATAAGTAGCTACTTAAAACATCTTAATTTATATTTTTTAGTTTTTACTTGTGAAAATGATGAAAACTGTGGAGCACTTTCCCAAACTTTTTCTGTTTTAATCAGTGATGATGTCAGTTCCTGTCTCTCCAGTTCTCCGTCATCAGAAGTAAGAAAATAAATGCAGAATTGATCAAACCAGACAGGAAGATTATGAACCGAAAGTGAAAGTTTGAATATAATCAGTCAGTCTCTGTGTGCAGTTATCATTAGTTTTTCTGTTGTTTTTCCTGAACCAGGTCCTGTAAGGCGCTGGTCCGCAAACCCCAGGCCGCGGCCCGGTACCGGTACCGGTCCGCAGTACTAAAAAGGTTGGGCACCACTGCCTCACAGGAACCTCTGCTGTTCAGAACCGCAAGCTAACTTCAGTGCCCTAATCTCAGTGCTGAAGTTCGCTTGTGATTCAGTAAGATAACTGAATCACAAGATACTTTCTTTAAAAGAATGTCAACAAAAAAATTAAATCAGCTCTAGTTCAAAATAAGATTTTAAACTTAAGTTTGTTACATTTTCCTTCTGTTTACTATGATGCATGTTTCACTTTTTGGTATTATTTTATGTAACTGCCGAAATCTGCCAATAAAATCTGAGCTCAATTGAAACTTCAGCAGGAAATATGACAGGTTCTGATCGTCTAAGAGGTGGAGGAAAGGAGTTCCTGTTCTGGACCAGAACCTGGTCCAGAACCTGAAGCGGCAGTGCAGCCCAAATAAACCCAGATTATATTCGATTACATGATATAAAATAGCAGGAAACCAGTGAAATTCTGGGTATTTCTGTGATATCATTGGAGGCCCAGATTGGATCAGAACCAGAACTGTGGAACCAAACCGAAGGTCCAACCCTGACGTGATGCCAACTGAAACGGTTTTGTTCTGGTTTTTGTCCACCGGTCCCGGTTCCACTGGTTTTAAAACTCAACTCTGTTGATGCTCATTTAATTGCAGAAAAATTCCTTTCCAGATAAATAAAAAAAAGTTTGCAAACCATAAACCACGTTTTCTGTAAAATAGTTCGGTTCGGGTTCGGATTCGGTTCGGTTTAAAACTCTAGACCATTACTGAACCACCGAACCTGACGCCAACTTCAGCGCCGTTTAAAGTTCTGAGGTTGATCCAAAGCAAAGTTCGGTACCTTCCCGGACCCGCCCCGAATAAAAGCTCGGTTCTGGTCAAGTCCAAACGCCTTAATTCCGAGGTTCGACGCCACCAGGCTGTAGCTAATAATCAGAACAAAACACATTTCTACTTTTTCTCCAAGAACTCTCGGTTCCGAAGCCAGCGCTGGATCAAACACCGAGTTCAGGGGACGGTTCGGACATGGGTCCAAACAGAAGAAGAAGAAACAGAACCTCACCTGCAGCTGGACCTCGCAGACCTTCTTCTTCTTCCTTTCTGTGTTAGAGAATCTCAAGCCACTTGTCGGTGCAGAGCGCCCCCTCCTGTTCATGAGTGGAACATCCTTACTTTCCACCCACAGGATCTAGTCTGAGTTTTCTGTCATGGATAGAAATGAATAAAGTTTCTCTTCATTTTCCCAGGTTTTTGGTGGTAAAAAGACATTATATTTCAGTTAGCCACTCATCGTCACCGATGAGGGAAATATTGTCACGTGTTTTGGGTATTTCCCAGAACCTGCTGCTGGTCCATTTGAATCCCTCGAGGGCCAACAAAGGTCAAAATTCAGGCAAAGAGCTTTGTGAGTATGAATGCCTCGTGTCAGTCACAAAGGAGGAGTAGACTAAACCAGATTTTACTTTAATATAAATGAGGAAACAAACCTTTATGTAACATTTCAAATAAAACAATGTTAATTAATACAAAACAAACAGTAAGGATATAAACAGTGACAAGTATAAAATGCTGAGTTATTATACTCAAAGTTGCACAGACTGTCATATTGGGAGTGAATAGTCTAGCCCAAATGCAGAACACAACTCAGGAGAAACTGTGGGTAAAGTGAAGTTTATTGAAAATACTTCTGAAGAGTTCTGGAGGCTTGGGTCGGGTCCAGGGAGGAAGGTAGCGTCAGGAAACAAACGGTTCACTAGAGAGGCAGAGTCGATGGTGAACCGCAATAATTTCATGGGAAATTATTACGTTGAGAGTGAGGGACGAGTCTTACTTGTGAACCGCTGGGTTAGAGAGGTGGGGAAGTACTATAATGTCCGGAGTTTCAGTTCTCTGTGGTTCCAGGTCGTGGTGATGTAGGTTGGCAGAAATCCAGGAGGCAACAGGAGCACGTCGGAGGGCGGACAGGTAGGCCAAGAGCGGCGGCTGTAGAGGAGCGGAGCGACTGCCAGTCGTGGAAATCCTGGTGCACAGATAAGGTGAGTCTGGGGCTCGGGCAACCTGTGGGTACGTTCCACAGCGTCACGAGGATTGACTGAAAACACGAGGAGCCAGGAGGAAACACCTGAAGGTAAGAAAAGCAACAAGGAAGATTTTCACTAAGAGCAGAGTAACAGAAGCAAGCTTCTAGGGGCTCAGAGGTACCATGACTGGCAAACACTCAGGCGCAGAAGGACTGGCAGTCTGCTTCTCTTGAACATCTCGCTGATGAGCTCAATTCGCCTCAGGTGTGGGATGACGTCATCCACGCCCTTCGACAGAATGGATATGGCTCCCTCTAGTGGTAGAAAAGTTGCATGCACAAACAAAACCTCCACAAAGGAGCTAAAAAAACCCCGGAACATGACACAGACATTAATTAGGTCATACGTTGCAGAAATCTAAGATTTCCTATCTGAAGTCAATTTTTTTATGCAAACTCAGTCTAATAAAACCAGAGTAGAAATAATATTTGTCAAGTGAAATAATGATATTAAATGCAGTACATTAGTTATTCTTATAAGTATATTTCCCCAAAAAAAGTAACGAAAGTAAATGTAACCAGTACTATCCGCTTTTAAACATAGATAACAAAATCAGTTGCCTACCCTTGTTAACAAGCTCAACATGACATATTGGCTAGTTATGGCTAGTCACCATATAGCTAACATTAGCTAGTCAACATGTAGCTAACATTAGCTAGTCACTATGTAGCCAACATTAGCTAGTCAACATGTAGCTAACATTAGCTAGTCACTATGTAGCTAACATTAGCTAGTCACCATGTAGCTAACAGTAGCTAGTCACCATGTAGCCAACATTAGCTAGTCATGTAGCTAACATTAGCAGGCCATGTAGCTCGTGATTTACGTCACTGCAATTGGCAGCGTTTACATGCTGACCATGACTAGAGCAACCAGAGTTGAACCAGCAGCAGAGCAGGAGCGCATGCGCTAAGTTTAGCTGTGAGGGTTTGGTTTTTCTGTGTTCAGTTGTATCTCTGTCCCATCAACCCTGGATTGTCCTCGGCTGTCCCTCGTTTCCCTTCCTTGTCTTTAACCCCGGCTGCTCCTCGTCTAGTCTCTTCTGTTGTCATGTCACATTTCTGGCCTTTACACCAGAGAGATTGCTCATATTACAGCATATTGCTGCCTGGATTGTGCAACTTGTGACTCATCATTAATAAACTCATCCATGCGTTTATCTTTAGTCTCATTGATTATTGCAACAGCGTCTTCACAGGCCTGTCCAACAAATCAATCCTCCAGCTGCAGCTGATCCAGAAGCTGCTGCTCCTGTTCTCACTAAAAGCAGGAAGATAGAGACATAACAGCAGTTTTAAAGTCCCTCCACTGGCTCCCTGTAGCTCAAAGAATAGATTTTAAAATCCTGTTGTTAGTTTATAAATCACTGAACGGTTTAGCACCACAATACATCAAAGATCTGCTGTTGTTGTATCAACCTTCCAGACTCTCAGGTTCTGGTTCTGGTTCTGCTCTGCATCCCCAGAACCAGAACCAAGAGAGGAGAAGCAGCTTTCAGCATCTATGCACCACAAATCTGGAACAAACTTCCAGAAAACTGTAAACCAGCAGAAACCCTGACTTCCTTTAAATCTCAACTAAAAACCAGCTGATTAGAGTTTTATTAGAAATGTAATATGGAACAATGTATTGTTGATTCTATGACTTTGTGTTTTTGTGTTTATGATGTAAAGCACTTTGAAATGCCTTGCTGCTGACATGTGCTATACAAATAACATTTGATTGATTGATTGATAATGTCGCTGCCATTGGCGGCAGTTATACAGTTTGACTTAAAGTGATGTAAAATATTTTATGTTTATTAAAGGTTGTACAAACGTTACTGGAATGGAACCAATGTTTAATTTGTTGTGTTGCTTAGGCGCATATTTTTAGGTTTCTTTATTTTCCTAGCTGGTGAAAAAGACGCTACACCAGATTCTTTCTGAAACCTTTCGGCTTCAAGCGCATTTTTGTATTTTAGTTTTTTGTGGAAATAGATGGAAGAATTTGTGGAGTTTATTAGCCATGTGTTTTTAAAGGTGATGTAATGCGTCTGTTTTTAGACATCAAGCCACTTTATTGTAAATGTTTTGCTGTAATAGCTGTCTGTTCTCTGAGAATGTCTTTCTGTAAAAATATCGTTATTAAATGCCAGTAACTATCAAGAACGCCTTGTGTCCGTTTTCTACCTGGAGAGAGTTCAAATTAAATTATCTTTTTTCACACCAAACCTCCATTCCTCCATTAATCCTCACCACCAACCACATTAGCAGCAGAATGAGTTAGCAGCTAACATTAGCAGCAGAATGAGTTAAAAGCTAACATTAGCAGCAGAATGAGTTAAAAGCTAACATTAGCAGCAAAATGAGTTAACTGCTAACATTAGCAACAGAATGAGTTAAAAGCTAACATTAGCAGCAGAATGAGTTAAAAGCTAACATTAGCAGCAGAATGAGTTAACTGCTAACATTAGCAGCAGAATGAGTTAAAAGCTAACATTAGCAGCAGAATGAGTTAAAAGCTAACATTAGCAGCAGAATGAGTTAAAAGCTAACATTAGCAGCAGAATGAGTTAGCAGCTAACATTAGCAGCAGAATGAGTTAACTGCTAACATTAGCAGCAGAATGAGTTAAAAGCTAACATTAGCAGCAGAATGAGTTAGCAGCTAACATTAGCAGCAGAATGAGTTACCAGCTAACATTAGCTGCAGAATGAGTTAACTGCTAACGTTAGCAGCAGAATGAGTTAGCAGCTAACATTAGCAGCAGAATGACTGAGCTGAGAACGGTGAAGCTGCTCAGCTCTGTGACCGCTGCAGTTCAGCATAGATCGAAACATCAAAACTACAAAATGTAAACTTGTGCTGTGAATTTTATTTATTTCATAAAGCATAAGCTTTATTATATTTTAATAAAAATGAAATATAATAAATTATTTTTTGACTACTGGTTTATATCTTCTGACTGGATCCAAAAAGTGCCAGAAAATATTTCTAGTCAAATCATCAGCTGATCTGAGTGTTTATTATTATGTAATTTCTACAAGACAAAATGAAACATCTGAGTTTGTTTGGGTCCATCAGAACCAGAACCTGGAGGTTCTCCAGTGTGAGCTGCTGCGGTTCAGGGCCGCCCAGGGAACGAATGACCTGGGAAAGAACCAGACCGAACCGGACCGGCCTCGCGCGTCAGCTGAACTCACCAACCAGTATGAAGAACCAACTCCCTCCACCAGGTGGCGCCGGTCATAACGGGCTGATCTCTAATGATTTATTATAAGGTTTATCTGCATGTATTTATCTGAGCACCTATAATCTGATGCTACAGTAGAACCAAACGGATCGAACTGGTATAACAATATATAAAAATAAAATACTTATCAATGTGATAATAATCTTCAATAATACAGATCTTTAATAATAGTGATTGTAATAATAATCTACCACTAATAATAATAGTAATGGGGAAGATGCATAATATCAGAGTTATATATGCTTGAACCCCTTTAATCAACAACTAAAAGAAAAAATTTATGCAACGCCTGCAAACTGAATTTAATTTGACTTTAATCATAATTTAATCTCAGTTTCATCCTGACTCATCCATATTCTGAGGCATCACAAACCTGGCAGCCTGAACAAAAACCTGCCAACCCGTCCAGGCGCCGCGGCCCGCGGGCGGAGCTTGAGGGGCGGAGCTTGAGGGGCGGATCTTGAGGGGCCGAGCCGCTCCTCCGCCTGGTCTGCAGCTCGCTGCGGCCAGAAGCGGTCCGCTTCAGGTCCAGTTCACACGAACCAGAATCTTCTCTGCTTGTCCATCTGCGGTCATGTCCAACTCAGACCGGGTCGTGTTGGTTCTGGGAGGAGCGGGGACGGTGGGCTCTGGCATAGTCAAAGCCCTGCTGGATAAAGGTATATTATTATTATTATTATTATTAATACCATTATTATTATTAAGATTGTTATTATTGTTGTCACTCTTATTCAGCGCAGTTTTGCGCCTCGTATTTCAGTTTTGATGAGTTTTCCTGGCGGTTTTCAATATTTTCCAGCCATGATCAGCTGAACTATTTAGAATTTATTGTGTTTTTAAGCGATTTCAAGGGTAAAACCAGCCGAACCGGAACCCGAAACAACCCGCGTTCCCCCATTATCGATAAAGTCACATCTGTACTGAGAGCATAAAGTTATTAACTGAAGCCCAACGGAACCAGATCATTTCCATGAGGCGGTTCCAGATGAATGAAGTTCTGAAAAGTCCAGAATGGAGCAGATTTTCCTCTGAAACATCTTTTTGGAAAACCAGAGAGTTAGAGTTAGGGTTAGTTGCTGAGTTGGGTTTAGTTGTGTTTTAGTTGCTGAGTTGGGTTTAGTTGTGTTTTAGTTGCTGAGTTGGGTTTAGTTGGGTTTTAGTTGTTAGTTGGGTTTTAGTTGCTAAGTTGGGTTTTAGTTGCTGAGTTGGTTTTTAGTTGCTGAGTTGGGTTTAGTTGGGTTTTAGTTGCTGAGTTGGGTTTAGTTGGGTTTTAGTTGTTTAGTTGGGTTTTAGTTGCTAAGTTGGGTTTTAGTTTCTGAGTTGGGTTTTAGTTGCTGAGTCGGGTTTAGTTGCTGAGTTGGGTTTAGTTGGGTTTTAGTTGCTAAGTTGGGTTTTAGTTGCTGAGTCGGGTTTAGTTGCTGAGTTGGGTTTAGTGGGTTTTAGTTGCTAAGTTGGGTTTTAGTTGCTGAGTCGGGTTTAGTTGCTGAGTTGGGTTTAGTTGGGTTTTAGTTTCTGAGTTGGGTTTAGTTGGGTTTTAGTTGTTTAGTTGGGTTTTAGTTGCTAAGTTGGGTTTTAGTTGCTGAGTTGGGTTTAGTTGGGTTTTAGTTGCTGAGTTAGGTTTAGTTGGGTTTTAGTTGTTTAGTTGGGTTTTAGTTGCTAAGTTGGGTTTTAGTTGCTGAGTCGGGTTTAGTTGCTGAGTTGGGTTTAGTTGGGTTTTAGTTTCTGAGTTGGGTTTAGTTGGGTTTTAGTTGTTTAGTTGGGTTTTAGTTGCTAAGTTGGGTTTTAGTTGCTGAGTTGGTTTTTAGTTGCTGAGTTGGGTTTAGTTGGGTTTAGTTGGGTTTTAGTTGCTGAGTTGGGTTTAGTTGGGTTTTAGTTGTTTAGTTGGGTTTTAGTTGCTAAGTTGGGTTTTAGTTGCTGAGTCGGGTTTAGTTGCTGAGTTGGGTTTAGTTGGGTTTTAGTTGCTGAGTTGGGTTTAGTTGCTGAGTTGGATTTAGTTGCTGAGTTGGGTTTAGTTGCTGAGTTGGGTTTTAGTTGCTGAGTTGGCTTTAGTTGGGTTTTAGTTGCTAAGTTGGGTTTTAGTTGCTGAGTTGGCTTTAGTTGCTGAGTTGGGTTTAGTTGCTGAGTTGGGTTTAGTTGGGTTTTAGTTGCTAAGTTGGGTTTTAGTTGCTGAGTTGGGTTTAGTTGCTGAGTTGGGTTTAGTTGCTGAGTTGGGTTTAGATGAGTTTTAGTTGCTAAGTTGGGTTTTAGTTGATGAGTTGGGTTTAGTTGCTGAGTTGGGTTTAGTTGCTGAGTTGGGTTTAGTTGTGTTTTAGTTGCTAAGTTGGGTTTTAGTTGATGAGTTGGGTTTAGTTGATGAGTTGGGTTTAGTTGCTGAGTTGGGTTTAGTTGCTGAGTTGGGTTTAGTTGGGTTTTAGTTGCTAAGTTGGGTTTTAGTTGCTGAGTTGGGTTTAGTTGGGTTTTAGTTGCTAAGTTGGGTTTTAGTTGCTGAGTTGGGTTTAGTTGCTGAGTTGGGTTTAGTTGGGTTTTAGTTGCTAAGTTGGGTTTTAGTTGCTGAGTTGGGTTTAGTTGCTGAGTTGGGTTTAGTTGCTGAGTTGGGTTTAGTTGGGTTTTAGTTGCTAAGTTGGGTTTTAGTTGATGAGTTGGGTTTAGTTGTGTTTTAGTTGATGAGTTGGGTTTAGTTGGATTTTAGTTGCTAAGTTGGGTTTAGTTGCTGAGTTGGGTTTAGTTGTGTTTTAGTTGATGAGTTGGGTTTAGTTGGATTTTAGTTGCTAAGTTGGGTTTAGTTGCTGTGTTGGGTTTTGTTGGGTTTTAGTTGTTTAGTTGGGTTTAGTTGCTGAGTTGGGTTTAGTTGCTGAGTTGGGTTTAGTTGCTGAGTTGGGTTTAGTTGGGTTTAAGTTGCTGAGTTGGGTTTAGTTGCTGAGTTGGGTTTAGTTGTGTTTTAGTTGATGAGTTGGGTTTAGTTGGATTTTAGTTGCTAAGTTGGGTTTAGTTGCTGAGTTGGGTTTAGTTGCGGAGTTGGGTTTAGTTGCGGAGTTGGGTTATGTTTGGTTTTAGTTGTTTAGTTGGGTTTTAGTTGCTGAGTTGGGTTTTAGTTGTTTAGTTGGGTTTTAGTTGCTGAGTTGGGTTTAGTTGCTGAGTTGGGTTTAGTTGCTAAGTTGGGTTTAGTTGCCTAGTTGGGTTTAGTTGCGGAGTTGGGTTTAGTTGCGGAGTTGGGTTATGTTGGGTTTTAGTTTTTTAGTTGGGTTTTAGTTGTTTAGTTGTGTTTTAGTTGCTGAGTTGGGTTTAGTTGGATTTTAGTTGCTAAGTTGGGTTTAGTTGCTGAGTTGGGTTATGTTGGGTTTTAGTTGTTTAGTTGGGTTTTAGTTGCTGAGTCGGGTTTAGTTGCGGAGTTGGGTTTAGTGCGGAGTTGGGTTATGTTGGGTTTTAGTTGTTTAGTTGGGTTTTAGTTGTTTAGTTGTGTTTTAGTTGCTGAGTTGGGTTTAGTTGGATTTTAGTTGCTAAGTTGGGTTTAGTTGCTGAGTTGGGTTTAGTTGCGGAGTTGGGTTTAGTTGCGGAGTTGGGTTATGTTTGGTTTTAGTTGTTTAGTGGGTTTTAGTTGCTGAGTTGGGTTTTAGTTGTTTAGTTGGGTTTTAGTTGCTGAGTTGGGTTTTAGTTGTTTAGTTGGGTTTTAGTTGCTGAGTTGGGTTTAGTTGCTGAGTTGGGTTTAGTTGCTAAGTTGGGTTTAGTTGCTGAGTTGGGTTTAGTTGCGGAGTTGGGTTTAGTTGCGGAGTTGGGTTTAGTTGCGGAGTTGGGTTATGTTGGGTTTTAGTTGTTTAGTTGGGTTTTAGTTGTTTAGTTGTGTTTTAGTTGCTGAGTTGGGTTTAGTTGGATTTTAGTTGCTAAGTTGGGTTTAGTTGCTGAGTTGGGTTTAGTTGCTGAGTTGGGTTATGTTGGGTTTTAGTTGTTTAGTTGGGTTTTAGTTGCTGAGTCGGGTTTAGTTGCGGAGTTGGGTTTAGTTGCGGAGTTGGGTTATGTTGGGTTTTAGTTGTTTAGTTGGATTTTAGTTGCTAAGTTGGGTTTAGTTGCTGAGTTGGGTTTAGTTGCGGAGTTGGGTTTAGTTGCGGAGTTGGGTTATGTTTGGTTTTAGTTGTTTAGTTGGGTTTTAGTTGCTGAGTTGGGTTTTAGTTGTTTAGTTGGGTTTTAGTTGCTGAGTTGGGTTTTAGTTGTTTAGTTGGGTTTAGTTGCTGAGTTGGGTTTAGTTGCTGAGTTGGGTTTAGTTGCTAAGTTGGGTTTAGTTGCCTAGTTGGGTTTAGTTGCGGAGTTGGGTTTAGTTGCGGAGTTGGGTTTAGTTGCCTAGTTGGGTTTAGTTGCGGAGTTGGGTTATGTTGGGTTTTAGTTTTTTAGTTGGGTTTTAGTTGTTTAGTTGTGTTTTAGTTGCTGAGTTGGGTTTAGTTGGATTTTAGTTGCTAAGTTGGGTTTAGTTGCTGAGTTGGGTTATGTTGGGTTTTAGTTGTTTAGTTGGGTTTTAGTTGCTGAGTCGGGTTTAGTTGCGGAGTTGGGTTTAGTTGCGGAGTTGGGTTTAGTTGCGGAGTTGGGTTATGTGGGTTTTAGTTGTTTAGTTGGGTTTTAGTTGTTTAGTTGTGTTTTAGTTGCTGAGTTGGGTTTAGTTGGATTTTAGTTGCTAAGTTGGGTTTAGTTGCTGAGTTGGGTTTAGTTGCGGAGTTGGGTTTAGTTGCGGAGTTGGGTTTAGTTGCGGAGTTGGGTTATGTTGGGTTTAGTTGTTTAGTTGGGTTTTAGTTGTTTAGTTGTTTTTTAGTTGCTGAGTTGGGTTTAGTTGGATTTTAGTTGCTAAGTTGGGTTTAGTTGCTGAGTTGGGTTTAGTTGCGGAGTTGGGTTTAGTTGCGGAGTTGGGTTATGTTTGGTTTTAGTTGTTTAGTTGGGTTTTAGTTGCTGAGTTGGGTTTTAGTTGTTTAGTTGGGTTTTAGTTGCTGAGTTGGGTTTTAGTTGTTTAGTTGGGTTTTAGTTGCTGAGTTGGGTTTAGTTGCTGAGTTGGGTTTAGTTGCTAAGTTGGGTTTAGTTGCTGAGTTGGGTTTAGTTGCGGAGTTGGGTTTAGTTGCGGAGTTGGGTTTAGTTGCGGAGTTGGGTTATGTTGGGTTTTAGTTGTTTAGTTGGGTTTTAGTTGTTTAGTTGTGTTTTAGTTGCTGAGTTGGGTTTAGTTGGATTTTAGTTGCTAAGTTGGGTTTAGTTGCTGAGTTGGGTTTAGTTGCTGAGTTGGGTTATGTTGGGTTTTAGTTGTTTAGTTGGGTTTTAGTTGCTGAGTCGGGTTATGTTGGGTTTTAGTTGTTTAGTTGGGTTTTAGTTGCTGAGTCGGGTTTAGTTGCGGAGTTGGGTTTAGTTGCGGAGTTGGGTTATGTTGGGTTTTAGTTGTTTAGTTGGGTTTTAGTTGTTTAGTTGTGTTTTAGTTGCTGAGTTGGGTTTAGTGGATTTTAGTTGCTAAGTTGGGTTTAGTTGCTGAGTTGGGTTTAGTTGCGGAGTTGGGTTTAGTTGCGGAGTTGGGTTATGTTTGGTTTTAGTTGTTTAGTTGGGTTTTAGTTGCTGAGTTGGGTTTTAGTTGTTTAGTTGGTTTTAGTTGCTTAGTTGGGTTTTAGTTGTTTAGTTGGGTTTTAGTTGCTGAGTTGGG